GAGCTCGTCTGCTTGCTCTTCACCAACATGTCGTCCATATACACCTCCATGTTGCGTCCGATCTGTCTGGCGAACATCATGTTGACCATCTGCTGGTAGGTCGCCCCGGTGTTCTTCAGACCGAAAGGCATGACGTTGTAGCAATACAACCCTTGGTCAGTAATGAACGCGGTGTACTCTTGGTCTGGTGCATGCATCCGAATCTAATTGTATCCGGAGTAGGCGTCCAAGAAGGAAAGGAGCTCGTGCCCTGCTATCGCGTCGACGAGCTGATCTATTCGAGGTAGGGGGAAACTGTCTTTCGGGCACACCTTGTTGAGGCTCGTAAAGTCGATAGAGACACGCCACTTGCCGTTAGACTTTTTAACTAAAACGACATTAGTCAGCCACGCAGGGTAGTGAACTTCTCTTATGAAATTAGCTCGTAGCAACTGCTCAACTTCTTTACAAATTACATTACTTCGCTCGGCGTCGACAGGCCGACGCTTTTGCCTTACAGGCCTACAGCTAGGGTCTACATTAAGTCAATGCACCATTATACTTGGGTCTATGCCTGGTATGTCGTCATGGGACCATGCGAACACGTCAGACTTCTTCTTGAGAAATCCGATGAGCTCTTTCTTCACCTCAGCCCCTAGCCTACTACCGACGCTGACCTGTTTATCCGGCCCCAAAAGGGGACAAGTTCTAGCTCCTCATCTGGAGTGCCTCGGCTGGGCTCTGCTTCGTCGGCGCGCGGTAGTGCGGTTGCTTCTAGCTCCATGATTGCCGCTCAAGTGTTGGTCCCCTTCATCGCAGTCGTGTAGCATTCTCTCGACATTTTTTGCTCTCCTCGGACTGTGGCGACTCCAGCCGAGGTTGGGTACTTCAACACTTGATGGTAAGTAGACGGGACTGCTTTGAGATCGTGAATTAGAGGTCGGCCAAGTATGGCGTTGTACACCGAGCTTCGGTCTATCACAACAAACTCCGCAACCTTGGTCATTTGCTGATCTCTTTCGCCGACAGTGACAAGGAGTGAGATGCATCCTTCTGCGCTAACCGTCTCCCCGGCAAAGCAGACCAAAGGCGTCGGGCTGCGTTTCAAATGTTTCTTCTCCCATCCTAGGGTAGTGTAGGTCGAGAAGGACAGTATATTAGCCGACGCTCCGCCATCAATAAACACTCTTCTGACCTTCACTTGGTCTATCAGTGGAGTGATCACCGGAGCGTCGTTATGAGGCAGGTGCACTCCTTCGCTGTCCTGTTCGTCAAACAAGATCGGCATCACAGGCTCCTTGGGGTACGAGGTACAGACCTCGTA